TTGTTCATGGGTTTTATTTTACTCATTTATTTATATGCACTGCTGAGAATGGAACCCAGTGCCTCATACATGCTGAGCAAGCACTTTACCACTGAGCCAAAACCCCAGCTCTACAACATAACATTCTAATGCCCAGGATAGGATCCAACATTACTTTATACAAAGAAATATAAAACATGACTATTGAGAAAATTTTATTGGGTGTTGACTTCAAGATCCTATTTCCAACATCTGGAATTGGCAAACAAGGACATTACAACAGCTCTTGTAACTATGCACAGTAATGTAAAGAAAAAATATTTTTATGAAAATGTGAAGATATGGGGCTGGGGATGTGGCTCAAGCGGTAGCGCGCTCGCCTGGCATGCGTGCGGCCCGGGTTCGATCCTCAGCACCACATACAAACAAAGATGTTGTGTCCGCCGAAAACTAAAAAAATAAATATTAAAATTCTCTCTCTCTCTCTCTTTAAAAAAAAAAAAGAAAATGTGAAGATAGGAAATCCCAGCAACGAAATAGAGACTATAACAGCCAAGGTGGGAATGTAGCTCAGTGGTGGAGTATTTGCCTAGCATGCTTGGGACCTTGGGTTTGATTTCCCAGCACTGCAATAAATAAATAACCAAAAAGAAATTCAGAAATAGCAATAACTTATGGGCTTAACAAAAGAATAGAGATGATATGAAAAATATGTTTGAGATAATCAGATATTATTCATTTTGAAGGTCATAGGAAAAAAAGACTGAAAAAAAAAGAAGAGTCCTAAGGATATGTGAGACAATATCTAGCAATTTAGGGGTGAGAGTAGAGCTCAGTATCTTGGTGGTAGAGCACTTGCCTATCATGTGGAAGGCCCTGGATTCCACCCCAGACACTGCAAAAATAGAAAAACAGTAAAGATTTAGCATACACACTGGCCACAAATTTACCAAATTTGATGAAGGACACAAATTTACAGATTCTAGCAATTCAAAATCCATAACAGGGTAAAGGTGATGACCACATATATAGGTACCTTTTTGGCAGTCATGAAAATGAACCTTGCAGATCTGTGAGAAGTGTAACTGATGGCCTCAGCTGCTGTGCTCTGAATCCACTCCCACATTGTGCCTATGCTTTATTGGCTCCCATTCAATGACTGGCCCAGGAAAGATACTAAATTCCATTCTTGCAAGATACCTCTGATAGGGAGCTCTGATTAGAGAACTCACTGGCCTTTTCAAAATGTTCTTAAAACAGCACTGTAATCTAAAAATTTTGCTACCCAACCTTCTATTTCTCTTCTACTGCACAGGAGATGTGAACCCTACTTTGATGACATCTTGCCTGAGAAAGGCCCAAAGGGTACTTATCTCCTGCATTAGGATATGTCTGTCTCAGCCTCTTGCAACTTCTCCATTTACCCTCATAGGAATTTGCCCCAATAAATCCATTCCAGTCTAATTATGTCCTAGTGTCTACTTGGAGGAGGTAAACTACCACAATACTTCACAGGCAAACTGCTAGGAACTAAAATTAAGGAGAAAATCTTAAGACAGAAAAATGATACATTACACATTGAATGTCCACTGACTTGCCATAAAAATAGATCAGAAGACAGTGGAATGATACCATGTGACATAATCTAAAAATTCAACAAATCTTACTCATGGTTAGAATTTTCTAGACTTACACATATTCTACATCCCAAAAGATGGCTAAATATTATTGAAGTAGGAGACTGGACATGTGGCTCAGTGGTGGAGCACTTGCCTGGCATATGTGACGCTTGATCTTCAGCACCCTTGGGGAAAAATTGAAGTAAGAGAAAAAGTCCTGGATTCATCCATAGTATGAGCAAAGTTAAACTGGACTTAAAACCCTTTTTATATTGGTGAAGTGCAAAGAATGTCTCTAACTTTTAAATGATTTCATACTACTTACTTTAAAGATATCTAATTATTGCACACAATATGCCAGACATTTCTCTATAGTCAAATGGAAAAGTACCTGACTTAAGTTTATTTGGTGGAACAAGAAAGACAATAAACAATTATATAATGTTGACGGGTGGTCTTTATGGTCATTCCTATCTGTAATTCCAGAGTAGAATCAGGTGTTTCCAGACTAGAATAATCTCCCATTTTATTTCTCAGCCTACTCTTGCAGTAGTACTTCTCCCAATGTATTCTCTCTTCCCTCCATATCTTCCTAGTCTAAGCCACCAAACTACTCCTTGGATTTGTCATATAATTTACACCTTCATTTGAAAACCTTTAATGGTTCTATTTTGCCCGATGAACAAAATTTAAATTCTCCAGGGGGCACCTACCTTACTATATCTTTTTCCATAACTTCTCTTCAGGTATCCTAAAATTTACCAAATGAAACTGACCATTCACCAGAAAAATATAATATCAAATTTTCCTAGTCCCAGTTTGGACACAACACTTTAAAGGGTGGCAGTTCCTCAAGCCATACCATAAAAGAAATTAGTGTAGTCATGAAGATGACACACAATGTTCTGCTTTTCCAGAGCACATTGTAGAGTGATGCAATCCCATTCCTTTGCAGTCAAGTTGACCCCATGACTTGCTCTGGTCAATGAAGTGTGGACAGAATTGTGCGTCACATCCAGGCAGAAGCTTTGCAATTTGTCTCCTTTTCTTTTTTTCATTGCCAAGAGTGCCAGTGCCTGCATTCAACCAGCTATAAACATACAGAGTAGAAAGCAAGGACTGGGGCGTGTTTCAGATTCTCGTTGAGGTTTAATTTACACACAATAAAATGCATCCATTTTATGTGTACTGTTGAAAGAGTTTTAACAGATGTATGCACCCATGTAACCACCTCTATTACTGAAGCGTTTCTTTACTTCACCTCAAAACATTTCTGCTTCTTTGCAGTCCCCAAGAACATGAATACTTTAATCATCATTGATCACCATGCTACTCCACCCTTACTATAGAACACCCACCCCCCCCATGCCTTTGTTGTTGTTGTTGTTATTTTGAAACAGGGTCTTGCTAAACTGCCGAAGTTGGCTTAGAACGTGATCTTCCTGTCAGCCTCTGGAATCACTGAAATTACAGGCATGTGCTTCCATGCTTGTCATGTTCTAGAATTTCCTATAAATGGAATACCACCATATGTATTCATTTTATGCCCTTTGATAAATTTGTATTTTTTTGGAGGGGGAGGGAACCAGATATTGAACTCCAGTATTTGACCACTTAGCCCCAGCCCCAGCCCTATTTTGTGTTTTATTTAGAGACAGGGCCTCATTAAGTTGCTTATGGCCTTGCTTTTGCTGAGGCTGGATTTGAACTTGAGATCCTCCTGCCTCAGCCTCCTGAGCCAGTGGATTATAGGCATGCTCCAGTGTGGCTGGCCTTTGACAAATATTTGAATTGTAAATTGGCTTTATAAATTATCATAACTTTGTATTCATAGAAAAGATTAATTTACCTATCAGGGTAATTACCTTTTTGTTTTTGTTTTTTTATGGAATTTGGAGTTATCCTTGCACAGGGGCCATGCTTATCTCTGTATCTTTTCAAATTTAGTATATTTGCTGCCTCACCGAGCCCCCCAAATTATTTATTTTTAATTTTCTTTTTAGTTGTCGATGGCCCTTTATTTTATTTATTTATTTGTATGTGGTGCTTAGAATCGAACCCAGTGTCCCACACATGCTAGGCAAGAGCTCTACCACTGAGCTACAACTCCAGTCCCTCAGACTGATTTTTGAATCCAAAAAGACATGGGCGCTCTTACCACTGAGGAATAATCCCCATCCTCGTCTTTTGGAGACAGAGTCTAAGTTGCCCAGGCTGGCCTTGAATTTGCGATCTTCCTAGCTCACCCAGTTCCTGGGTTTACAGGCGTGCACGCCCGCAACCGGTTTAGGTGAGTATTTTTCAAGACTTAAAGCCCTATGATTCATTCTATTTCATTGCCCATGTATTCTCAGTGCCAAACACTGGCATTCAGTAGATGCTCAGTACGTATTTGTAGACTGAATGTGTATGTATTTCCCCTGACTTGCTTTTATGTGAGCCTATTTTAACCGTCTGGGATGTGTTACTATTAAAAAATCAATTACCATGGACTCCTAAGGAAAGACGTGTCTTTATAAGTGCCTCTATTTCCACTCCAGGAGGAGGTAAAGGATGGAGATGAGACTTGGAGGAAACAGCCAATAGCACTGTACCTTACTTATCTGTGAATTGTGAAACATTTTATTTGTTGTTTGGTTAGTTTAAAATGCACCCCCCACCAAAAATCAAGAAAATAAAATTCCATGAGCAGCATGCCCGAGTCTCTTTCTTTACTCCTCCAATTTTATTTCTATTATGTCGTGACACTGGCCCCAGCCGACCCATTCTGACTACCAGGTTCTAAAACAGGATTTGTCACAAACGAACCTCTTGACCCTTGACACTCACTTGTAAGACAGTCACTTTGACTTCCTAACCCCTGAGTAATCTGAAAGTCAAATGGGAAGAAAAGTGAGCAAGATTTCGAAAACGACACCGAGGTAGCTGAGATAAACTAGTTCAGGTCTTTACCATGCTTAACTTTCTGCGGGTCCCGCCGCGAGGCGCCAGTGCGTGACTGCGCAGGCGCGCCCCAGCGCCCAGCCACGCCCCCTCCGATACCGCCCGACGCGCGCACGCCGCCCGGCGTCCTCGCTCCCGGGGCGTCGCCCCGCGTGCGCCGAGTCGCTGAGGCTGCCCTCCGCACCGGAAGTGGCCCTGCAGGGTTTGCCTTCAAACTCTCGGCGAAAAGTGGCACCGGTGGGTGGTGACGGTTGAACCTGGCCGTGCCGGGCCGGGAGCGAGAGCGGGCGGTGGGGGCTGCGCTGGCCCTTCTTCCTCGCCGCCCGGAGCTCTGCTCGGCACTTGCCTTCCGCCCGCGGTGGACGGCTTCCCAGGGCGCCTCGGCCTCTGTAGGTGAGTACTCAAGGGACACCCGACCCCCCTGAACCCGTAGGTGAGGGACTCCGACGCCGCGCTTACCGCCCTGAGCCTCCCGGTGACTGCGCCGCGGTCTTGGATTCTTGCTGTTACCTCTGACACCTGTGGCTAAGCTGACAGTCCCCCTGCTCGAGGAATCCTGTCCACCGCGGGACTCCTGGGGAGGGCTGCCGTCGAGCCTTGAATCGACCCTGTAGTTAGAGAAGTCACCGGACCAGTGAACGTGCTTTAAGTTCTTCTTCTTTTCTTTCTTTTTCGGACTAGTGAATTTGTCCACATCGCCAGCTTCGGAACCCTCACTCTGAAAAAAATCCCGAAAGCTTTGACCTTGGGATTCAGCTTCCTTTCTTACAGTTTGTGATGTTGGTGTGATATTGTCAAAGTTGTAATTTCTTATTTAGTTGATTCTGGAGCCCAGCATCCTCTAGGAGGCTTTTGGCCCTTTTTGTTTAGGTAGTCGGAACCGCTTAGAAAACTTGACCCTTAAAGCATTTGTTTCATACAGTACATTATATGGTAACAAATTAAAGGTAAACATGGATGGGTAAGTGCCTCAAGACCTCATTTAATCATGTTGTTTCCTCTTTTAACTGCAAAGTGCCGCTTTTATATTAGTTACTGACTCCAGCAGCCCAATGATGCTCCCTTTTCTTTTGAAAATACTGTTTTATGCCTTCCTCTTTGAAATTGACATTTAGCTACTGCTGAAAACATTCTTGATTTTTAAGAATGTGTGCAATACGGTTTTTCATAGTCATAAATTCACTATGAAGGACACCTTTGCATATATTTCATTACAAGAAATAGTCTTGTAATGCTTATACAGGCCTTATTATACAGTGCTATTTTTCTTTCCTAAGATTTTTAAAATAGTGAGTTTTTATAACAAGAATTAAGAGCAAAACTCTTTCTTGTATTAACATTAACAAGTTATGGTTTGCATCACGCCTAAAAAAAAAAGGCAGTGCCAATCAACTTTCAACATTCCTATACTGCAAAAAGCTATATAAACCTCCTTTGTAGCACACATTACTCAAGAATCTCACATTTTATAGATTCAGTACTAGACATGCTGTATAGTCTACTAGAGATTCTGTATTTTTTTTGACAGTAATACCACAATTCTAAAATAATGATTAGAGAGTCTTGTAGATTTTACATACACTATTAACGTTGTTAAATTTGTTTACAACAAAGGTTTGTAGGATTTTCTTTTTTTTTAAAAGCTGCTTGGCTGCTCAAAAAAGATAGTGTATCAAATCAGTATGGTCAGTGTTGATAACATGCTAAATAGATTTTGCTTATGGTGTTTATTTATAGGGTGTGGGTATGGTTTTTAAATTTCCTTTCCATTGTTACACACCTGTTTGTTTTATTCAGGGTAAACTGAAAGCTTACCAAATACATACATAGGAGACTTTTTTTTTTTTTTAGCAATTTCTTTTTGTTGCTTCTTTTTCATGGTAATAACTTTCTTGTGCTTGAGTGTTTATTATAAGATGATTACAAAAGTGAGAAGAATGTGTGCCATACTTTAATTGTTCATGGGTCATTCATGTATTTTGCTCATTCATAATCATCAGTGACTGACTACAAATTAGCATATGGTTGTTTTCATGTCCCAGAGATGAACATTCTGAAAATTGTTTGTCAGTTTGCTCACACTTGTAGCCATATATATTGGTTAACAAAATGCCTACAGGAAGATGCATGGTTGGTTTTATGATCTGTTTTTGTTTTAGGAAATAAATTTTGCATGCAGATTTTTTTTTTTTTTGTACCAGGAATTGAACCCAGGGGCACTTAACCACTGAACCACATACCCAGCCCTTTTTTATATTTTATTAGAGACAGGGTCTCACTGAGTTGCTTAGGGCCTCCCTTTTGCGGAGGCTGGCTTTGAAGTCAAGATCCTCCTGCCTCAGCCTCCTGAGCTGCTGGGATTACAGTGTGCCACCGCGCCTGGTGCAGATAAATATTTTTATAAACATTTTTAGGCTTCCAGCATTGATGCTGGAATTTTGTTTTTTTGTGGTACTGAGTATTGAACCCACAGTCTTGCTCATGCTATAGGCAAGCACTCTACCACTGAACTATGCCTGCAGCCCTGATGATTTTTTTTAGTGTGTACTTTAATAGTATTTTATGGTTGTTTCATGTTGTTAAGCCAGGGGAAAGGGTGGGGGGAACCTAGAATAAATAAGGCGATTTTTTTAACTAAATTTCAATAACTTAATTCTGTCCTGTTTTTGCCCTCAGGGTAATTCCTTGCAATTCAGTCTACTTTTGTCTTTAAAGAAATTCTTTTCAGCTCAGTTGGGGTTCCTTAAATATTTCTTGAACAAATGACCTATGCACATTACTGTGAAAACTGCAGTATCAGTGGAATCCAGTGTAAGAGTCCTTAAGAAATTAAAAGGGCAAGATGTCTTTTCTAAATGTGGAATAAGGAGGGCCCTGCACTTGTTCAGGGAGAGAATAGGAATCTTCAAATTCAAATATTTGGTTCTGTTACCTGTTCTCTTTTAGTCTCTTTGCTTTTTTCCAAATCCTAGAGAGAAAGAAAATAAAAAATAATTTTTGTTTCTTTGTGGATACTACACTCCATCAGATATTAAGTTTGCTAGAAATGTTGATGTAAAGTTGAGATTTTACTATTTAATTTAAAAAATTCAGGTGCTGGGGATATAGCTCAGTTGGTTAAAGTACTTGCCTTGCAAGACCCAGGGTTCAATCCCTAGCACCACCAAAAAAAAAAAAAAAAAAAAAATTGACTGGGTGCCATGGCATATGCCTGTCATCCCAGCTTCTTGGGATGCTAATTCAGAAAGACTCTCTCTCAAAAGAGGACTGGGGGTGTAGCCCAATGGTAGTGAGCCCCCCTGGGTTAAATCTCCAGGACCAAAATAAATAAATAAATAAATAGACTGTTACTTGAATTAAAATACCATGTTGTATTTTGCTCAGTTTAAATAAGTGAATTTAGTCATTAATTAAATTATAAATACTGAAGTATTCTGTTAGAATAATATAAAGAAAATGCTTATTGTTAGATAAAGCCGCACAGCCTATGGTTATTTTTCTTAGCCGCACAGCCTATGGTTATTTTTCTCTCTAATAATCTACATAATGCCGACTCTGAATTTTGAGACAATCTCATTTGTTTAAGTATTCTATTTAATGTTGAGCCAATAGGTAGTGTTTACATTTCATAATAATTAACATTTTGTCTGTCAGCTTTTTTTTAAAAAATAAATTCACTCTTTCCAATACTGCCAGATACTGTGCTAGTTAGATCCAGTTTCTGTCCTTCTGCAATGTACTTTTAGCCCTGATAAGGACAATGATAAGGAAAGTTGGAGATTCTCATAAATTTACAGTGTTGACATTCATTTGAGGAGGTGTTTTAGGCTTGAGTTACTAAAGGAATGGGAAAGATTTTTTTTTTGGTCTAACATTAAGTGAACTAAAGGTGATTTGATATCATTATCTGTGAACACATTGCTTCTTTGATAGCGAAGGATTTTTCAGGTCATTTATTAATGTAGCCTTGGATTGACTTTATTTCTGTTTGTAAGAAAATGTCAGTTCTTTGGCTCCTAAAGAATTTTATCTGACTAGAAAGGGAAATTCAAAACACAGAAACTTTGAAGAAGGTGTGGAGTAACTTAAGAGTCTGGGGCCATTGAGCCATGCCTTCAAAAACAACAAAACAAAAAAAGGACCACCTAGACATACATAATAATTTAATGTAGGTTTTTGTTTGTTTTGGTGGTGCCACAGATTGAACCTGTGCCTCCAGCTATGCTAGATGACCATTGTATCAGTGAGCTACATCCCCCTGCCCTTATTTATTTATTTTGAGATAGGATCTCCCTAAATTGCCCTGGCTGACCCCTAACTATTCATCCTTCTACTTCAGCCTCCTCAGTAACTGGGATTATAGGCTTGCACCATCATACCCAGTTAATGTAGATCTGTAGGGGTTGGGGTGGGGGTCTTTGGGGATTGAATCTTGGGGTGCTCTATCACTGAGCTATATCCAGCCCCCCTCCCCCTTTTTTGGGTACTAGGGATTGAACTCAGGGGCACTCGACTACTGAGCCACATCCCCAATCCTGTTTTGTATTTTATTTAGAGACAGGCTCTCACTGAATTGCTTAGCTCCTCTCCATTTCTGAGGCTAGCTTTGAACTTGCGATCCTCCTGTCTCAACCTCCGGAGCCACTAGGATGAGATGTGTGCATCATCATGCAGTCCATCCAGCCCTTTTTATTTTTATTTTCAGACAGGGTCTTGCTATGCAATCCTCTGCCTCAGCTGGGATTATAGGTATGTATCACTGCACCTGGCTTCTATGTAGATTTTTTTTTTTTTTTAACTGAGAGAAAAGTTAGAAAGATCTGGAGGAGTCTATTAAGGAACAGGGGCAGGGATAGAGGGTGTGATATAAGAAACCTGATAATCCAAGTCCGTCTCTCAGATCCACTGTCATATTTCCAGCAGCTGACTGCCGCAGTCTGGCTGGGCACAAAATCACGAGCCACCACACACCTTGTAGATTCAAACAGCAACTCTTTATTCTCGAACTGTCACCAGCACTCTACACACGTTCTGGGGAAATCCACGTTCTGGGCAAAATTCCAAATACTCTCTGAATCCCACGAGAACTCAATGGGGACTCAACAACTCAATGGGGACTCAACGAGCAGGCGCGCCTGAGGCAGCAGGATACGCCCTATTCCCAGCAGGGTACACCTTAAACCTGGAACCGCCCTAAACCAGGATTGTCCTAAATCTGGAACGCCCTAAACCCGGATCCGCCCTGGTCCTTGAGCAAGGTCACCTTACATGCAATGACACTGCAAATGACCTGGGTCATGCCATGCGTCATTCTTACTTAGCAATGGCCCTCAGCATCTCCCCCCTTCTGATTAATTAAACGACAAGCAATGTGGCTTAAGGACTGTGCCTGGTAGGTTGTCCAATTCAACATATGGTTCTTACCCGTTATGGGAAAAACTGACCTCTAGGCGTCAGCCTCCTGTCTTAGGTTGATACCACTGTGATTGGATCATACCCGTCACTGACTACCGGTCCAGTATATAGCCATACTTGTGGATAGGCCTGTGCACCAGTGGGGGGGTGAGGTTCTTGCCTCACCTCTGTTGGCCCCCAATTTTGCCCTTGGTGCCAGTGGGGGGGGTGAGGTTCTTTGCCTCACCTCTGTTGGCCCCCAAATTTTAGACCATCACTAGCAGAAGGGAGGAGGAAACAGAAATGCCACGACACCAAGCCAATTGACGGCTCCTTTGGAAAAATTGCATCACTGGTGACACCATCAGCAAAGATATGCCAGCACTACCACAATTCGCTGCACCAAACGATAGTTCACAATGCATACAAGTGATACATAGTCCAGGCAAGTT